TTTACCAGTGCCGTAGACTGTACCCTACAGCATATACTAAAAGCATGTAAACGTCGGAGACTTTGGAGGGCCCCCGTAATAGTTAGCCGAGAATCCGTAACTCGAGGACCCAAAGTACGGGTCAGACCCCCCGCTGTTCACTTACACATAGACGAAAAGGTCGATTTTATGGCCTCTGCGATGAAATCCTCGGGATTTCTTGGCGAGAATACTCTCGGAAAAATCGCATGCGTTTCTTTTCGTCTATGTGTAAGTGAATCGCATCGACCTTTTCGTCTATGTGTAAGTGGACAGCGGGTGTGTGACCCCTAGTTTTGGTCCTCGAGCTACCGATTCTCGGCTAGCTAACACTGGGGCCCTCCGAAGTCTCCGACTTTTACATGCTTTTTGTATATGCATGTTAGCGGCAGCTTATTTTTAAGAGTTGTCGAGGGTAGTTAGCCCTAGACCCCTCGTTTTTTTAATGGGTTTACGATAGGGACCCAGCTTGCAGGGGCCTTAAGAGGCTCTGCAAGGGTAGTGACCAAATGGCGGGTGGCCCGAAGCCACGCGGCCATTAAGGGTCATAAAATACGTTGGCCACGAGGAAACGTGGAAACAGTTAAAAAAAAGGTAAAGTGGCTGGGTGCGACTTAGCACTAACCAACAAAGAAATTGTTGGTAAGGATCTGGCCACGGAGTGGGGAAGGCAAGGGTGCCTTCTGGTAAGAGGACTGTGACGAACAGCACGGCGCTTACCCCAGACTCTTGCTAAAGAACGCATCTAGCTAACGATCGACAAAAAATATCTAACATATCGAATAGCTTTTAATGAAATGTTGTTATCATTAAATTATCTGGAAAAATGTAGGAAACCTGGCTAAAGAAATATTTCAATCCTTGACTCGGAGTCGGTCATAATAAAACATCCTAAGCACAAGTGCGACCCAACCGCGCGAACCTCCCCCACGACCGTGTAACTACATATCTAAAAGAACTGCCGTTTGAGTTCATTTCAAGCACAGTCCCTGCAACATATCTTTCTACCCTCGTGTCACGTACATTCCATAAACTTCCGAGCATTCGTTTCTCTAGCCAAAAGCAGAATTAAAAACTTTACGAAATTGATGTAATTAAGAGCATCGATCAACGAGCTCGGTAAAAAGTCGCGGTTCAATTAAAAACTTTTAATTAAACGTGAACAAGTCGACAGTAATTTGTGTCGTTGGGCCGCACATTTTCAAAATACACAGACTATCAGGCCGCGTGAATTTTTTCAGCCGCGGTTACTATCGGCGGGTGAAAACAACCGACGTGCGAAGCGACGCGTCATGGAATTAATTTTTTACGGGTTTAATGTTTTAAGGATAATCCAGAGCTGTTTGAAACGCGAGCCTGTCTGCCGGTCCAGCGCGAGTTGAATAAATGGAATAAATTCTGTTTCGGTCGCCGGGCCACGGCTCGTCGGCCGTGAAAGGGAAGGAAAATTCATTGCCGTCTGGAAAAGAGGAGTGCCACGACCGAGCTTTTGCGAATACATAACAGACACGATTGAACGTTATCCGTCTCAAAGGCTTTCACGCGTTACCGGCAATTAGCGGTGACAAAATTCATGCTTCATAAAAGGCATGCTGTCCACTTAAATAGTATTAATATCCAAGTGCTTTTATCCTGTGTGCTTGTTTATATCGTCCATAACATCTATGTTAACGCAACAGTGCGTTTTATCTACGCTTTGCCTATAATGGAAGTATAATATATAATGAAAAGAGAAAATGATGGATAAAGTAAACAATATTATATACACTGCAATATGTGGGCTAAAAAAAAATGTTTTATTGTCTTATAAATATCTTCATGATAAAAGTGAAGAAAATAAGTATTTTACGTTTACTTTCTCGTTTATCTGTTGCAAACTTTCTATACGCTTATCTCATAGTCATTTTATCTACGTCCCTCGTTTCTTCCCTTCACAATCTCTATTGTTCACTTGGTATACCGACAACAATTTTATCTACCATTCCCTCACTGTCTTCTAACCAGAACACGAGCATTATTTCTGTTCGCCATCCCCCACAATAGAAGTATCGTCCTCCTCGCCGCCGCCTTTATCTTGTCCATCGGCCGTACATTTATCTCTATCCACTTCTCCCCCGTCGTTTACACTCGCCCAGGGTGGTCGCCCGCGGCGAGACTTGGCTTCAAAAGGGCAGGTTAATGGGTCGGATATTAAAAAATAAGCGTCGCCGGAAATGGAAACGATTGCACGATTCCAGTTCCTCTCCTCGCCTCCTTTTGTTGGCCGCTTGATTAAACGGCAAATTAACTCAGCAAATCGGTTACCTTTGACTGAAAATATTTTCAACCCTCTTTTAAGTATCAAACCTTAAAGAACAATTCTGACAGTGTTGTACGTTCGCGTGAAATATTTTATCAGGAAAATTGACCAAACATTGTTGAAGGGTGATTAAAGCGTAAATAATGGAAATGGCGAAGCGTTCGTTAATCCGTGTAAAAATTAATGGCAGTTGGTAGTAAATGTTTTAATGCACCGGTGAGTTCGATTTTAAGGATGTATTGACTGTACGGTCAACCCCAAAAGTTTAGGTACCTTAGAAAAACGCATTTCCTATAATTAAAAAGAAATCAGACGTCGGAAGAATAATGGTAATAATATACTATAGCTACGTGCTAAAAAGTATAGAAGGAATTATCCAATTAAGTATTGACGAAAAATTTTCAAAATTGCGAAAAATACTTGAAATAAAAGTTGTATTCCTTCTAACTTCGATATTTAACGAGTTACATATGATTATATGGCATTTTATTGATGTTGACAAAATCCGACCATCCCAGCGTCGTAACAGCGAACTTTTGGAAAAAAATTTCGTTTTTTATCAATAACTCCCGAACGGATGGACGTGGGGGAAAATTGTATATAACNTTTTATACAGAAATTGTAGATCTCGTCGTCCTCTACAAAAAAGGTCCTATGCAATTTTCCCACATCTCCAAGGGTTTAGGAGTTATTGGCCAAAAACGAAAATTTGGAAGAAATTGAAGGGGTACCCCTTAGAAAAATCTCGGAAAAATCGAAAATTTTTTTTTGTTGTTTATTATTAGCAATGTTCTTCCAACGTCTGATTTCTTTTTAAAAAATGCGTTTCTAAAGTGCATAAACTTTTGGGATTGACTGTATAGCCAATACATCCTTAAGGGTTTTCGCCGGTGAAATATTTGTGCAAACTTCTAACATGTTTATTATGGATACAAAATCACTTTGACATCGTTTCCTATTCAATCTCTGCATTTACTAAGCTGGTATGAATAGTAATCTCTTTATTTTATTATATAAACTAATTTTATGCAATTAGTCTCTATATTGCATTGCACAAAAGAATAGTAACGTAGTTTCAATATAATGTTCATAATGAATCGAATCCAATAATGAACCGTCGATATTTCATTAGCGCGTTGGAACTTCACTATATCGGTTATTAATAATTCTCATAAATCTTGGCGCTATTATTCTACTTTCTACAATATGATTGATTCTATAGCTGTTATTCATGTTATATTTGAAACAAGACTTCTGGATGGATGGGTAAACAAGGAAATAATAATAGATGCCAGGCCTTACGTCGGAGACTTAAGTAGATAAGTCTTTCATAATCAAACACTATGACAGAAGAAATGGACGAAGTTAACTGAAGATTAGCGAAAAGTACTTGTAAAGAAGATTATATCCTCCGCTCTTCGAAAATTTCCTACCTTTGACTTTCCTATGGCTTCTCACCAATTTCATTTTTATGGGTTTTTCTCAGATGATTAAGAATTTCAACTTTCAAGTCGTTTTCAATATTATTATTCCACATTTCATGTACAGATATAAGATGATCTCTTGATGAAACGTGAAACCAAACTGAAGTTAAGCTGTTGATTCGTTTAATAGGGATTAAGCTCTACGTTTGCTTTAGCTAATATTCGTTTCGAAATACAAAGTCAGGTTGAAAGTGATAGCTGGCAGGACATTCGAGTTCTTGTCTCCGTGTAATGTATTAACTTGCCGACATAAGGACTGGTTGTCTGAGGTTTGAAAGGCATCGCACTGGGTTAACTTGGGGGTTGAATAGCACCCGAGCGGACCGTAACAACTCGTAGCGCCGAGATAACACCCTCTGCAAGCCATTCGGTCATCCTACGCCTGCACTTTATGCATCGTGCCACGAGGAATGATTTTACAAACCGTGTTAGTTCCATGGTAGCTATTGAGTTACAGGCGTTAACGTTTAGCTACTCCTGTGATTAAATCTAATAGGAATATCGTTCCTTCGTTAAGTGAATCACTCCGTTTTATTATAAATTTTGAAATAATCATTTTGGTAATTAAATAATATTTTTAATGAATCAAAGAAAGCATAGGATTATTATTTTCGTGCATTATTGTTGTTATCGTGTAATCACGTCGTAATATGTTATATGTATAATATAATAAATTCTTCTTTTTATACTTGGGGATTTTTAGTAATGAATTTAAGAAAATTGTCTCGACTATTTATTTGAAACACCGGAGAGGTAATAATATATATGTATAATATAATAAATTCTTCTTTTTATACTTGGGGATTTTTAGTAATGAATTTAAGAAAATTGTCTCGACTATTTATTTAAACACCGGAGAGGTAAATCGCGATTACGGGTATTAATTGGCATTTCGGTTGTCCACGGGACAGTCCTCGAACAGCCATAAAGGAAGTTTACAACATCGGACGAGGAGGACGGTCACGCGTTCGGTTTAGCAAGCCGTTAATGCAGCGTTAACGACGCTTCCCGTTCTTAATGGCGTTCTCCTTGTCTCGCGTAATGGTTTGTCGAACGACGCGGAAATTGCCAACAGATGGCCAAGTAGATTCTCAACCTCCCTTAATGACTACCTAAACCCCCCGTCGAACGATCAATTAACAATAACGTTTTAACGAAAATTCCTTTGCTGCTGGTATAATTGGGACGTCGCGTTTTAGCGTGTCAACAGGTCAAGTACGGCGTGCAGGCGGTGTTCGGCCCGTCGGATCCGATCCTGGGCCAGCACATTCACAGCATCTGCGACGCACTGGACATTCCACATCTGGAAGCCAGGCTGGACCTGGACACGGAGGCGAAAGAGTTCAGCATCAATCTCTACCCCGCACAAAGTTTGCTCAACGCCGCTTATCAGGACATCATGGAGTTTCTCAACTGGACCAAGGTCGCCATTATCTACGAGGACGACTATGGTGAGTAGGAAATATTTCCTCAAAGTCGCTTCAGTATGTTTTATTGTCTGTGTCTTGACTAAACGTTGACTCGTACTACTTGCAAACTCATTTTTCAAACTAAACACTTCTAGTGTATCAGATAATTAATTTTTTTTTTTAAATTCATTATCTGTTTCTTTGTTTCACGTTATTTTTTTGTGTAATTGCGATCTCGATTGTCAATACGCAGTCCGAGAGCAGAAAAAGTTCTATTGACAAACGGTTTCGATTGACACACCAAGTTTAATTAGTTTCTCCTTCCACCGGAATAAAAAGAGAGGCGAATGAATTTCCGTTGTTGATAAAGTCTGGAAATTGTATTAAAGGACAATATTTATGAAATTGTTGTCCCAAAGGTTGAGAGAGATGTATATTCATAATTTTCATTGTTTACTGTGATTTACTAATCAAAATGAGTTTCATTCGCAAAAACTAATACGTATTTTTCACAAATTGATTACGTCGATATTCTCGCCTCTGTTAGATTAGGGTTTTGCCGAGCAGAAACGCTTTCTTCTTGGTAGCAATTACCGGTGCTATTAGCAACAATTACGGCCACGGTTGGTAATTGAATAACGTCGATTAATAACAGCGGTCGCGCGCGACGGACGAGATAACGAAATTCATTCATAACGAGAAAACCGTCGTATTCGTCTTCGCTGACGAAGGAAGCATCCCTCCTCCTCCCCCTCGGGAGAATTCCAACTAATTAATTGGCAAAATGGCGGTTTTAAACTAAGCGAGGATTCCTTCTGGCTCTTTCAAACGTCGCGTCGCTATTCTTCGTTACCGCCCACTGATCTTCGACGATGAATAATGTAAGGAACAGAATGGAATTACCGAGTACACGTGCACTCCCCTATCAGACTCTGTGCTTCGTTCTGACTTCTATTCGTCGCGCAGAATTCTAATTGCTATTTTCAAAGTTTCGCATCCACCGTTCTGACTACATACTGGCTCATTGCATTTACTTGAGAGAACACAAATAATACATAAAATGTTTCTGTTTTTTATTGACTCATATTTTCATTTGCGATCCGATTACACACGGACATGCACTACTAACAATGAAATTTTAATTCATTCAATGTATTAATCTGCACATTTGCACTACTGCATTATAATACGCAATAATAGTAAATGTTTAAAAGTGGAAACGATTCAGAATGATTGATCGGGCAGGGTTGAACCCCGGAACACAATAGGCCGTTCGCGAACTCGTCCGTCTGGCTGTTGGAATATTCTCTCGTGACAGATTGTCGCAACACGTGTGCCGCCACCGCATTTCGCGCGCAATGAACGTGACTCTTCCCTCCCACCGAGATCGAGGACTTTACTGTCACCGAACGTGGAAATTGTGCATCTCGTCGTCAGACAGGCCTCGTTGCCAATCCCGAATAATAAATGCACCCGGTTGTGCGAGTTCCATACTGAATTCTTAAACAAATAGCCCACGCTCGTTGAAAGTAAATAGTAACGATTCAGAAAAATTCTATAAAAATCTGTAAAACATTTTCGATTTATATAATTATAACTACAATTAAAACATCATTTTTCATCAATTTCATTCCTACGTAATAAAACTGTATTCCATTCTTGCTGTCTGAGAGTTTTACAACTTTCTTTGCTAGAGGATTTGCCATGTATTTAACGTACTCCAGGCTGGAACAACCATCGAGCTTATCTGTTTGCGGAGGCGCTCGAAAGTTACACGTACAAGCCGATTAGAACACCCGGGATACACTCGACCGCGCACTTCTTCCGTCACCGGAACAAACGCGAGGCAAACTGTATCCCTATCACGTTACCAAACTGAGATTTACTAGGGCTTAGGAATTTCTGTCTTCCCTGCAACAGTTTCAATCCGCTGACCAAAGGAATTACCGATAATTGTGTATTGTTTCTATTGGACGATTATAATTATTTCATACAATGGAGCATGTAACAAATTATTCAATGAAATGTGTAATAAATCATTCAATATATTAAATGTATATCAAATCGTACATCGAGCATGTAATTCCTCAACAATGGCGATAAGCTACTTCAATGTACAGAATCTCAATTGTGAGTTTCAATTATATTCCTGGCATGCAATTGAGTAATAGAGTAGACATTATTTCAATTGGAAGATCATTATTATTGAATATAATTAATCATGCATATAGCAAATCGTACGGTAAATCATGCTACAATGACTCAATAGAACATGTAACTAATTATACCATAAAGCAATAAATCATTGGAATAACTACAAATTGAATCATGCAATAAGTCATTAAAAATGTGCATAAAATACTTGAATTCGCTAAATTGTATTTGCTCATGTTACAAGCATGCGATTGAGCCATAGGAAAAAAAAGAGTGGTAGCCTTCAAGAGGTAATGCACCGAAGGGAATAGTCCCTATCCCTGGCCCCATTCCATTTTCCCACGTCGAATGTTCAATGAACCCCGGGCTCGGACCGTCGCCATCCATTGTAGAAGTTCCAGCCACTCCTTTCGCTCGATCCCTCTCATTCTCCCGTTCGCGTCGAACGTGAAACACCCCCAACAATAGAGGGGTGCATCCGCATTTTAAATTTCGATGATGGAACATTCATTTTCTCCTTTGGATGCATTACTATTTTCGTTTTACAAACGTATCAATACGACATTAGTTTCATCGGTTCTATTTCTATAGTGCTCACATAGTCGTTGACTTAAACTACTCACACCACGATTATTGGTTTGTATCACTGAATTCTTATGGCGTTATGAAACTTTCAGTAATTCGTTTTCTCCTGAATTCCGTGCGAAAGCTTTAACACTAGAAAGACTGAAACTTAGTATATACCTATATTGCCCAAAAC